GTGTGCACTGCCCCTTCCGCCTTCCTCTCTGTTACCTGGGTTCGATTTTGTGCTCCGAAATTAAAGTTATTTATTTAGGCCGGTTAGCGGAGCAATGGAAATGAGGACGAGAGGCTGTTGTGTGTCAGTCCTGACGGCTTCCATCAGAGGGGCCAGCTTGCAATTCCAGATTTGATACAGCTGCCGGAGGAGTCTATAGGCGAGACAGCGGTCTTTTCATGCCTATCTGAAATTCTTAGTGCTTCATAGAGGGTGTTTGGGAGGGCAAGGTGTAAAGACAAATTAGCTGTATGCTTAATTCATATCCGACCCTCCTTGGTGGTGGTGTTTTTGCTACATTTTCTGTTGCCTATCAGGTACCTGTAAAGCAGCTGCATCCTTTGAAAAGCCAACTCTTTCGATCCCTGATTTCTGCATTTCTATTTAAGAATGTAAAGAAGTAAGGAGTATCAATGAATCAACTTATGATGAATAATACATTATCTCAAGAATAATGCTTTAATTGCCGAAGACGCTATAAAGCTTGATAGTAATAATTTTATTTTAAAACGACAAAGATTTCTGCATAACATTAATTTAGTCTTTGATACAGTAATAGGAACAGCTTTTTAAGAGACAGATTTGAATACAAAAACATTAAGGAGAGAGGTCTAGTTAAATAGATGGGAAGTGATAGAACTGCAAATATTAGAATTGTGGTAACATTTGTACTTTAAAGATAAGAATACTGTTACCATGTTAAAATGGATAGGAAAAAAGTAGTGTTACATTTTGCTTTCTTATTCTCTCCTGCCAAGCCAGAAGTGGGAATGTGGTGTGGTCGAAATTCTAGGTAGGTTTGAAATTGCTTTTTGATTGTTAGACTTCTTGCATCTTTTATCCGAAGTTACTTGCTTTTCCACGGAGCTGTTTGCTACTAGTTTGCACAAATAAATAAGCAGCATCTTGAATTCATTTTTGAACTTGGAATCAGGCATTTAAAGGAAACCAAGAGGGGCCTATTCACTGGGGTTCTGTGTAGCCGGCAACTTCTCTTTCTGCCTGGTGAAAAATGGATGTTTTCTCCTCATTCAAACAACATAATCCTTTCTAATACAAAAGAGCTAGACCTTGGAGTGTGAAGGGTTAATGGTGGTCCTTCCCTGTTGTCCTCCCACCCCCCACCTGCATCCCGGATTGTTTTGACAACACTTTTCAAAGTGTGACATTCCAAGCCCCTACATAACAATGTAATATTACTGTAATTACACAGGTCATTACATTTTAAATAGAGAACAATAAAATGCTTATCACCCTGAAAAAGAACAGGTGGTCTTGCCCTTCTTCGGTATTTATGCTAATTGTTTTTCATCTCCTTCCGAAATATTTATGGGGAACATGTTTAGATTTCAATCTGCCTGCCACAGTATTAATTCTGTGCTAATCTTTATAGGTTGGGGTTTAATGTCTGCAGTATGGATTATGGGTTCAACACTCACCCAGTAAGTCATATATTAATGATTATAAATTTAATATGCCAGCGCTTTGCCGTTTGTTGAATTTAAAGCTTTCTGAAACCCCAGAAACAAAACTATTCAGCAGCCGGGAGCCTAAAGTGCTTCTTTGGAAGAAGTGTTTTTGGAAACTTGACGGCTAAAGGGATGTAGCTTTCACGGATGCCCCCTATCTGACTGAGAAAAGATTTAGAGGCAGACAATCCCGGTTCTTGCTGAGGAGTTTTGCACGTTGATTTGAATTTCCCTGATGCGGATTTCACTTGGAGTCCCGCTGGAAGCTGGTCAGCTTTCTGTTTCTTAGCAAGCTGTGAAAAAGTTCCAGGAAGGTGTCCGCGTGCTGGCAGATCAAGAAGGCTGTTCTGTGAGCAGCGCAAAAAATACTTGCTTTAGAAAACTCGCATTTTAATAGTTGCACCAGAGGCTGTGCCTTTAAAGGTGACAGTACACGTCGTTCCAGGTTTTGAATGTCCCCCTCCATCCCATGAGGTGCCCGTGTGCCTGCAAAATGTGCTGGAATTCTGGGCTGGGAAATCCTGCTGCCACTTCCCTCACACAAGCACCCCGGGCCAGCCAGGAGGTACCCAGGAAGATGGCACATTTTGTCAAATGCTTCACAGGAGGGGCCCCGAATCCCATTAAAAATGCACTGGAGAGAAAGGACAGCTGCAAATTTTTGTGCGGACGCGTGTTTCTGGACCGTGACTAAAACTCCCGAGGACCTTTCCCCCAGCTGTCTGGAAGTTATGTGGAAGTTGGTTTATTGGCAGTTAAGTATGAGACAACCTGGATTTAGCAAAGGCTCTCTCTTGCACAGGAAGTAGATGACATTATACTGGGGGAAGGGATGAGACTGCAGGCCAGGAGTGATTTACTTGTTTTTTTTTTGTGTGTGTTTTTTTTTTAAACCATAGACTTGCCAAATAAATAAGCACTTTCCAAGGAAGTAGGTTGTAAGCTTTTTAGTCTTGGTAAGTGGAATTAGATAATATCTTGAACCGCATTTATAACTGTTTAGAGGTGACACAGTACAGAAGTTTTGAAAAGGCGGGGTGGGGGGGTCGGTCAATCAGATTCTGGAGGCTTTTATTTTCGCAGGGGGGTGGGATGGGGGGTCCCGAGTTTCTTCTGGGAGTATTGGCAACCGTGTAAGTAAATCTTCAGCTCTGACTTATAATTGAGCACATTTGTGAAGGAAATGGTTAATTTTACAACCAAAGGCAAACTTGCACCTCGACAGGTCTGCTGAAAGAAATGTGCCCCAGTCCTTTGCTGGCAAGCGCCACCGGGTCATAAATCCACAGGCTTTATTTACAGCCCATAACACTTATGAATGTTAAGATATTTGACGCCACGTTGGCCTTATAATATTCAAGGTCCGCAGACATTGGCAGTAGCTCAAATTTCTCTCACTAATTATAAGCAATGAGATGGGGGGGTGGCGAGGGAAAGCCCATCGCCAATGCTGCCCTCCCCCCTCCTGTGACCCCCACCCCTGCAATCTGAGCTGACTGAGGCCTACACCCCCTCCTTTGGCAGCTGACTTGTAGTTTTCCTCTAGGCTATTGTTATACACATTTATAAAGAGCACTTTCAGGCATGGAAATTCAGTGGGGGGCTCTGCACAAATGCCTTTTTCAAAAGCAAAGTTGCTCTAGGTGTTTGCATCTTTTTCCTTCTGGTTTCTCCCTTTTTCCTTTTTTTTTTTTTTTTTTTTAAGTCTATGTTGCCTCTATAGTGCATATTTCCCAGAATACTTACAGAAACCGAATAGGGGAGACTGCTCTGTAATTTATATGATGTTCCACTGAGCTGGAAGGGAAAATACACACATTGCATAGTGCACTGGTTAACGGGAGGGTTTGAAAAAAAAGTGAGGGAGAGGAGAGTCGATTTAAGGACATTAATAGATGAGAAGACACAATGCAGGTTTATGTTGGGGCTGGGAAGGAAAGCCTCGCTTTGGGAAAGGTACACAGAAATGTAGCCAGGGAGGCAGAATAGATGCTGGCCTAAGATTAGAAAAGTAGAAGATGGGGCACAGATTTGGGCTTGGGGAATGGCTTGAAGGAAAGGGGATTCGAAGTTTCTTTTTTTAAAATATATTTTATTGATTTTTTGCAGAGAGGAAGGGTGAGGGATAGAGAGTTAGAAACATCGATGAGAGAGAAACATCCATCAGCTGTCTCCTGCACACCCCCAACTGGGGATGTGCCCGCAACCAAGGTACATGCCCTTGACCAGAATCGAACCTGGGACCCTTAAGTCCGCAGACCGACGCTCTATCCACTGAGCCAAACCAGTTAGGGCCCCAAGTTTCTTAGGAGAGGTGCGAGTACCATGCAGGATGGGGTGGGGGGGGGCAGGGGGGCGGTGCTTGCTGTTTCAAACTAGATTGCTTGCTCAGCTGAGACTGGTTCCAATCCACTCCTCACCCAAAGTGAGGATGTGGCAACAGATAGGTTTCATATCAGTTATTGTGATCTGGGGGTGGGGCATTTGTGGTCCAAACCCCGGTGTGAGGCCTCCAAGGCCAATTATTTTGCCGATTTTAATTTGTTTTTTAAAAGTGGGCTGTTTGTGTGTGTTGCAAGCTGACTACATGCTAAAGGGGAATGGGGTTCTGAGGTGTGTGGGAAACCGTTGAGGGCGGGCTGTTGGTTCCATCTTTTCTGGCCGGATCCTTCTCTCTATCCAACCCCAACTTAAAGACCCAGGCTGAAAGGTTTTATTTGCTAATCAATGGAATGCAGAAACTTACTAGCCCTCAGGGACAGATATGAATCCCTTAACAGCTCATTACAAAGATGGGGCTGTGGGATCTTTGAACGGGTTATCAGTCCTGGTGTTCTTAGGTTTTCCCAGGATAGCTTTTCCTTCCTTAGGCACATCTGATTTCTGGCTGGTAATTCAGCCCGGTATACTTTATTCTTTTTCTTTTCTTTCTTTCTTCTTCCTTTTTTTTTTTGTCGTGAAGTAGCCCCAAACCGTTCGGTCTACAGAGGGAAGGAATGGGTATTAGTGGGATCAGCTCCGAAGGAGTTAAAATTGCTCACTAAAGTTTGGCATCATGAAAATAAATTTGAGGCCTGGTAGGCATTAGCAGGGCACAGCACATTTACAGAGCTTAATTAGTACGAACTGTAATTGTTCATGGCCTGCCAGAAGAAGTAATGTTCAGGAAAAGTGGAGTCCTTCTCCTGCAGTCTCCAGTTTGAAACCGATAAATCACTTGCATATTTGTGTAGTGATTCAAATGGAGCTAAGACCTCTCCCATCCCAACATGTGGTAAATTGTAAAGTCAATGAATTGCAGATGTAGGCTACAGTGAGATTCTCTAAGAAAATGCAGAATGAATGGGAAAGAAGTGATGCTATAAATATTTACTGAGAAGATAACTGGGTTCCTGCGTGCTGGGCCAATTATGATGTACTAAATATATTAGTAAAATGCTTAAAAAATCGGGAGGATTCGTGTGGGTCTTGGGGTGGGGTTGGTTTGTTTTAGAAAGTGAAGTAAAAGGCACTGTGTTATTGTCGTGTCAGTTTTATTAAGCCTGAATCACAATGGCATACCCAGGGAAGGACACACGAAACCCACATTAATGCAAATTAATTCGTTATGAGTTGCAGAGCTGTGACTGCTAAGTGGAGTAATGATGGGGGCATCATTTAAAGAGCGTTCGTGAAGCTAGCAACTTTCCGTGAAAATGCTGTGTGAGGAACATGGCTCAGCACGTGAGCCTGGGTGCTTTGGCGGGCTAGAAATGGGTTTTGTTCAGAAGCAGGAAAGTTGATTCACTTTATATCTTCCCCCCTCCAGCCCCCAAGCAGTTTAAGAACTTTGTTTTAATGTGTAAAGAAAATCAGCTAGTTTTTCCTCAAAAATCAACCCAGAAATGCCGATCACCATCCCCAAAGTTCAACTTCAACATTTCTTTTTTATTTTCTTTTTTAATTTTGCAAGAGGTTGCAGCACAAAGTGGGAAAAAAACGAACGTGTAGCATCCCCCCATAGACCTCTAGATGTAACTTTCTTGAAGCAATTTTTTCCCTTTTTTTTTTTTTTCTTCTTACAGGATTTTGGTCTCAGGCAATGTTGCAAGTCAATACTTCTTTCCCCAAATGTGAGTAGGTGGATGTGTGTGGAAGCTGTAAAAGTTAATGATCGCTCTCTGACTCATAGCTGATGGTTTCAGGTTGAGGAAAAAGAAAAGAAAAAAAAAATTAATGAGGGTAAATAGACATTTGGTGGAACATGGGAGACAGTGGGAGAGGTTGTTCTGTCTGAAGGCCTGTGTTTTGTTGCAGCAGGATTTCTGGAGAATGCCAGGAAGTGGAAAGGGGGTGCCTTTGTTTAAGTTGTTGTTTTAGGATGGAGTAAGTGTTCAGTGGCTGGATCTTTGCAGGAATGCTGAAGCCCACGTAGCTACCAGTCAGAGCTGGTTTTGCCTCCCCAAGGGGAAGTCAGAGGCCCCCTGGACACTTTTTAAAAGGGCAGGCAGGAGCCCAGAGTCCTGGCCAGAAGTTCACTTCCCATTAAATGTAAGAGGCTCCCCACAGAGGGGTGCTGTGCTGTTCCTGACCTGAAAATGACTGATGATGTAAGAAAAAGCCTTAGATATTATTATTATCATTATTTTAAAAAAACGGCTCTGTCTTTTATGCGAATGGCATGGGAATTAAACTTCAAGTGGCTGATGATGGTAGCTACAGGGTAAAAAGGAAGGAAAGTGGACCAAAAGACCTCCAAAACCAAAACTGTGCAGGAAATGAATCTGGATTTATTATTATTTTTTTAATAAAATAGAAAGTCAAGTGATTCATGAAGCTGAACATAAAGCAAATGCCCCACCTCGTCCCCATTTAGTGGAATGAACAGGCATCAAAAAGGAATCTTCACCACCTTGGAAGTTTACCTGGAGCTGGAAAAACCAACATAGGGTTTTGATTTTTTTTAGTCACCTTTGAGGTTGTAAAAGCCCATTCCTCTCCTCTCTGACGGCTTGTATCTGAGACATCACATTTAGGGCCAGTCGTGGTGATGAGGAGTAAAATGAGAGAAATCAAGAGATGCTAATCATCAGGGGAGCCGTTAACCGGAAGATGTTGGTTTTCCAGTTGCTGGCGAATCGGGCACCCCTGTGCTGGGCACAGCCACCTCTTCCTGGCGCTTCCTCAGGACAAGTGAGGGCCAGGTCACCCTCGGGTGTGAGAATGGGTGGGTGGGCTTGGCCGCTGTAAACAAACACACCAGAAGGGGAGGTCTATTTTGTGAGAGTTTTACGGGAAGGAATTAATTGGAAAGTACCTTGGAGTTCTCATTTGGTGGCACCCCTGGGAGGGAGGCACCCCGTTGAGGGCCCGCTGCATGCCCAGGGTACAACAGCCACAGTGGCTGGGAGAGGAAGTGACGTCAGTGCTGCAGGTGACCAACAGCAGGGCGGTCCCAAGAGTCGAGGATTATGGGAACCTGGTTCTTAAACCCAGATAAGCCTTAGAGAGCCCTGTGTCTTGTCCTGGATCTTGCAACCTCCCCATCTCTTCTAAAAAAAAAAGCAGAGAGCCAACCATCTCTTGTTCTCTCCTGCCTTACAGCTTTTTACAGAGATATAAATGCAGGCATGTTGCAGTTTAGAATGCCAAGGTTTTACAGAGTCCTTGTATTTTATCTTTGTCTTAAAAAGCTAGACCATAACGAACAAGGCATCTGTGTGTTTTACAGGGAAGGAAAAAGCAGTTTGAAACGTGTTTTAGAAAGGGGATTGTTGGGGAAAAGAGGGGCTGAAGCCCAAAGGGGACCAGAAAATGGTGAAGCCTTCGTCGCTGTAGCTGGAGGAAGTCGAGCTCGAAATCCCTCCAACACCGTGGTTACTGGCTGGGAGGGAATATGCATGGAGCTTGTGCTGTGGGTATTGATGAGCTGGTCCAGGTTATACTGTGTGTCTGGACACCTGAGGAAGGAAGTGACATTGCTTGGGGGTGCTAGGATGGTGTGTGCGTGAAGGTTAAATTAACTTTGTCCTACCAGAGTCGTCAGGACCGGCAGCTGCACCTTTACTGTTTTAATTGCAGCTTTCTCTCTGGGTTGCATTGTTGTTTGGGTGGTGATGAACGCCAGGATTAAGACTGGAACCCGACAAGTGAAAATTGAATTTGGATTAGCCACAGTTTCATTAATGTATTCATAGGGCTGTGATTATATGGAATTTTGTTTCCACGACCCTGTACTTAGTTATCAGGTGTCCATTCAATTTTAATTGACAATATAAGATTCCTGTGGTTACCCCGAGTACAGATTGCCTAGGGCTCCGCAGGGTCTGTGGGAAGCAAAGCTTGGACAAGTTTCCATTAAGCTCTGAATCAGGCCGTTGGAAAAGAGGAGAAGAAAACCCGCTGAAAAGGGGGACACGTTGTTAGTGTTGCCTTCTCTACTTAGAAGGAGAACACCCCCTCTCCGACAAGAGCTGCTCTCCAGCCAAGAATTCCAAACTCGCAGAGCAACCTGTCTCGTGCACAAAAGTTGTTTTTAACAAAAGTTGTTTTAACACGCCCCAGCATTGTCCCAGTAATTAGTGCAATCTCCGCTTACTGACTGGCAGTTTTCACAAAAAAGGACGGGGGGGGGGGGGG